TACTTGTCCTTATAGCGCACAATAATAGAAGGGATTTATTTATTTAATCGCACCATCTGTTGCACCCAGATGAGGATGGGTTCCCTTTTGAGCCTGGTTCCTCTCAAGGTTTCTTCCTCATATCATCTCAGGGAGTTTTTCCTTGCCACCGTCGCCACCGTCGCCACCGTCGCCACTGGCTTGCTCATTAGGGATAAATTCACAGTGATAAATTCAAATATTTATAATATATTTTTTGTTAATCCATTTATTTCTGTAAAGCTGCTTTGTGACGATGTCCATTGTTAAAAGCGCTATACAAATAAAACTGAATTTGAATTTGAATTTATTAGCACTGATGGAAGCCACTCATTCAGTCTGGTAGTGGATGATAAAGACAGAATTATGTAACTGATGCTGTGCAAATAGGAATAACAGGCAACTTTCTATGGGATTTTTCATATATAAATAACATGAGAAAAAGCACTAAATAGCATTTCAGTTTCACAAAAAGTAAACTTTATCACAACATCGTTAACACGAGGACATAAGAAGTAACACGTTTTGGGTCATCGAGCAAATTATGTTATGGCAACTTGGTTTAACACTGCAAAATCTACATATGCTTGTCATGATTGTGTCCAAGAGGTGCTGAACTACACTTCCCATCAGCCCCAACATGTCACATGTCTAAATCACTCGCACAAGTGTCTCATTTCACCTTGATTAGCACCACTTCTGTATATAAGTTCCTGTTTTTCAGCATCTTATTGTCAAACTTTTGTTGTTCTTGTGTTCGTGCGTTGTTGTATGTGCCACAGTTTCATTTATAGGCTGGATGTTTTTTCCTAGTATCTTCTCTTCAGGTTTACGGTTCTTGTTTTCACTGTATTGGTTGTTTATGCTTCACATACAAATATAGAAATATCTGCACATGCCTTCGCCTCTGCTACAAATTCCTGACAGTGCTTTTCAGAAAAATACACACACTTATTTCCAAAAAAGGTTTAAACCATTAGACTTAACTTATTTTTTTAGGATCAAAGTTCAGTAGAGCAATAAAGTAAAACGTATAAATTACAAAGTCTCATAGAGGGTAACTAATCTTTGAGTAGTTTCGTCATAATGATGTTCCTTTGGTTAAGCTCACAATTCAAGTAAGGGAAAGAAGATCTTAGAGTCAAAGGGCAATTTCTACCCAGAGACAGTAGTTGTGCTCCCTGGTGAGCCAGTGTGCAATGTGCTAATATATCACAGCGCCACATATCTCTGCATTTCATTAAAGTAGAAGGTGCAAATGGGCTCTATAATGACAGTTCATTATCATGCATTTCTGTGCATATGGTGTCTGTTTTGACATATGTCCAAAGCATATATATGGTAATATATTTATATTGACATACAGCATAATATCCATACCAGTGTTCAGACTAGGAATAACACATCAGAATCCTGCTTTGTGACAATGTCTATGAACTGAACAAGTTAATGAGTTAATGTACATTGCTGAACTAACTGCAGTTGTTAATTGCTGATACTCATATTTACCAAGTGTATTTTCATTTTTTTTTATACTTACCCAGTTATCCCAGTGAATAAGCACCCTGAATATATTGTTGTTGTTGTTGTTTTTCACAGTTCATCACATTTTCATGTGCTATATTTAGCTTTCACGATCAGGTTGGAATGACAAGGGGCCAGAAGATTTGTACTGCCTCACAGATTTGCTAATTAGCGCCTTGTGCTTCATTTAGTGAGTGGGCTGTGATGCACTGAGAAGGTGTAGAGTTTTTTTTTTTTGTATAATTAGACAATTTTAAAATACAGTAGATTGCAATGGTCATGGAATAAAATGTGTCAACAATTTAAGTGTAGGGTTGACCATACAGCAAGGTTTTTTTTTAAATTAGGTTTCACTGACGATTACTGAAATTGGCTGACTTTTAGCCCTTTTTTGGAACCAAGATATAGTCATAATATTTTCACAACACCTTAGATAATTCCACTCCCAAATCCAAGTAACTGCCACTTTCCATCCCCATCATATTTTCAGCCTTTGGTCTGCGCTGTGCAAGTGCGTACCACCGTCTTTTCCTCCAATACTTCCTAATTGCTTGTCTTGTCACAATTTGTCTCACAAGCTGGAGCTTGGCCCATTAACTAATACTTTACAGGCTTGTGAAGCAAAGACGACAGTATGTACAGTGGGTTTAGTTTGGGGGACACACTACCTCTGTATTAATATCTTACTCTGAGTTCTTCCTCGTCTGTGTCTAATTATATGAATATGTTTTTAATACACACATTTATTGATTTAAGATTTGAAATATGCAGGACAAAAATACAACACCAAAGATTTTAGACTTGATATGCAATTGCAACATAACTGCAAACATAAACTGCAAAAGTATTATACTGAATGTGTCACAGCTACAACTGACATCTTTCCAGTTTGCCACCAGAGAGCACCATCCTTAGAATACTGATCCGTTGCCTTGCCCAATTATTAACCTAACCTGTCTCTAATTGCATAATATTAGCGTTACTTTGCTGCCTTGTCTTGTCCTCAGTGTAACAAATAAATGTGAATAATAAATGTGTGTGAAGATTGATGACAGTGACAGTAGCTGCAAACTTGCCTACATAAAATATAGCTTAATCGTTGCAAATCGTTGCATGCAAATTCGGATTACAACAGGATGCAAGAGGTGCACTCAAATCTAAATTTTATCTTGTAATGTTCCATTAAAGCTGTCTGCTTGCAGCAAGTAATGATTAAATGAGCACCCAGCTTCCAATCAATAGTCTTTAATCTCATTTCACCCTTCCTTGGCAAGCAATGACCAAGTTGTGAAACACAATGTTCTCAGTGCCATGAATTTCTCTTGATGCTGAGCCTGTCAGCAATAAATGTAGAAGTTGCAAAAACAGGTAATGATTATGTCTGTGATTATGTATTTTGAGGTTTGAACAGCCTAAATTTACAAAAGCAAAAAAAAAAAAAAAAGAATTTACACTTCGATCCCAACATTTAGGAGTCTCACATTTAGAAGTGTCACATTTAACCAATAAAGGGCCATAAAATAGGCTGTGAGTTTTTCATATTGTGATGTTGAATGAAGTTAACTATTAATAAAGAAAAATTAGATAAAGGGCAGACACCTTCAGAAGAATGACAAGATAATAATAACAATATCAAGATCAATATCCCTGATGCTGCACTTGGAATGGCCATCCAAATACCCATTAAGTGGTCCCATGTTTCATCATGAAAGGATCCAGCTAAGGTGCTTTGCTTTCTGACATTCAGAAATACTTTAAATATAGATGATTTAGCCATTACTTAAACTTCTCTTAAAGCCTGGAAGCTGGGTGATGTCAGTATACTCACCACTCATCAAGGAACAAAGCAAGCAAGTTGGTGGACACTTGACCATAACATTCATACAGCATGTGCTTGTTGAACATCCCATTCCAGATTTAGTCCCAATTT